AGAGGGAGAAAAATGAAAGTAAGATTGAGAACCATGGGGGATAGAATGAAAAGTTCCAACAGCGATCCAGGAGGAATTTGAGAAGAACAACAGCAACAACAAAACAGAAAAAGAGAGAGGATTGATATTCATGGAAATAATGGCCAAAATTTTCCAGATTGGATAAAAGCCATAAATGCTCTTATTCACTCCTGAGAAGGATAGACTTAATCTACTTCTAGGTACAACTCAGTTAAATTGCAAAACACCAAAACCAAAAGGAAAATCTTAAAATTAACTGTAGACAAAAAACAATTACAACAGTTAGGGGGATAGCAGACTTTAGCAGACAGAACAGTAGAAGCCAGAAGACTATGGAATAATATCATCAAAGCGCTGAGGAAAAACAGCTTTTAACCTAGAGTTCCATATGAATTAACCTATTTTTTCAAGAGTGGTGGCAAAATGCACTTTCAGAGACTTTGCTGAATACTAATTGGCGTGTCTTAGAAGGAAGGAAGGTGAGCCAAGAGGAAAGAAGGATATAAAAAAAAAATAATGGTGAATAAATTGGTAAGTGTGGATAAATAAGTTTTAACTGTATGAAAAGAGGAAAGGTTAATGAGTTAAATATTCACTTCAAGAAGTTGGAAAACAAAACAGTAATTTAAAAGGAGATGAAGGAAGAAAGAGCGGAATTTAGTGAAATAGGAAACAAAGAATCAACAAAACCAAAAGTTGGTCCTTTGAAAACACTAATAAAGTAGACAAGCCTGTATAGGACTGATCAAAAAAGAAAGAAAAGGTACAAATACAGATATTCCGAATGAACAAGGAGCACATACTGTGAAGAATTTTGTGCCTCTATATTTGAAAGAGTAGGTGAAATGAAAATTTTTCCTAAAAGGGCTAAGAAGATCTAGGACAATTTGGAGAGAAAAAGAAAAGAAAAAGGGGAAGGAGAGGGAACAAAGGTGTTCACCGTATCAGATTTGAAGATTATTATAAAATTCCCGTAGTTGAACCTGTTATACCCAGATCGCAGTATCCTCACCAACCAGAGATCACCAGGGAGACCGAGTCACGCATGCAAAGGCAAAGGGCTTTATTATGGGCTTGAGCTCGGGCTCACAGACCACCAGCGCGTGGATCCGTGCTGAGAGCCCCGAACAAGGGCAGAGTAGGGTTTTTATGGGGTTTGAGACGGGGGAGTTACAGAAGTTGTGACATGGGAACAGTGATCCAGTCATAATAATTCAACATCATTGACAGCGGGTTTGACCATACACATTGTCTAGAGTATGCGTTACTTTTGGCGGGATCCAATTACAACGTTTAGAGTACCTTTAAATTCAACCAATCACAGAGCGAGCCTAGGGTCTTGTTTGGCGACTAACAGGTTAACTTTAACGTTAGGTAACAGGGTCCTGTCTATAGTTTCTATCTCCAGGCCTCTCCCTTAACAATGGTCTCTGGCCTTTCCTGAGTGGGTGTTGCAAGGGTGGTTTCTCCTGCCTTGGGCAATGTGTAACTGCCTGATAGTTTCGGGGAAGCCGAAACTCAGGCCTTCTAGTTTAGAGGGGAAACTTAAAGCCTGTCGTGGAGTCAGTTTGGTTTAGACGTTTAGACTTGTGGCCTTACAAAACAGCATGGTAAAGTCACAAAGCTTGCCAAATCAGCGAAACATAGCTCTTTTTAAACTCTTAAAAAGAGACACGAATGTATATGAAAACTTTGTATGTGAACATAAATCATTGGGAGGAAGAGTTCATTAAATGGTGGTAGGGCAGTTAGCTAACCTTATGTGTAAAAAATGAAAGTAGATTTTCTGTTATGATAACCAAAAAATATGTCCTAAATAGATTAAGGAACCAAATGTGAAAAGCAAAATTTGAGAACCTTTAGAATAAAATAGAGGAAAATATCTTTGTGAAATGAGGGTAGGAAAGAATATATAAACAAGAAAGGAAAGGCCCCAATCTTAAAAGAAAAGATGAACATTTCATCTTAAAACATGAACCAGCAGAAGACTGGCGCCCTGCAAATCAATTAGAAAGACAATAGAAAAATAGACAAAAGATATAGCTAGGCAGTTTACAGAAGAGAGGTGGAGAAGGATTCCAGAGGGGAAAAAAAGAAAAAAAAAAAGTTCAACTTCATCAAATAAAAAAATGAAAAACTAAAACCACATTGAGATATCATGTCACACTCATCTGTCTGATATCACCAAGAGCTGGTAAGGTTGTGGTGTGATGAGTTAAGAGTGTAAATTTTTACAACCACTTTGGCGACAAATTTGGCAGTATCCAAGAAAATTGAAGGTAACTCATAGCCATGAGTGTAATTCATGTATATATATGTACACATATATATGTGTGTGTGTGTGTGTGTGTGTGTGTGTGTGTATATATATATATAGCTTATGTATTCCTTTTATTCATGTACATAAGAAGACCCCTTTGTGATCACCAAGAAAACGGTGGTAACAGTCTAAATGTTCCTTAGCAGGAGGCTATATAAATAAATTTTGGTTTGTTTATGCACTGAAATATGTCATATACTTTATATGAATTGACTAAATTTATCTTTCTATTGAATGTTCCCTCATCCTGGTTTAGTGTTTGTGGTAAAAGTCAATATTATTCCTGAAGCATTCCCCTTTCTTACCCTGGGCAGACAGCAGGGTTGTACTTTTACCACCCCCTTTGAAGTTAGGTAAAGCCCTGTGGCTTGCCTTGGTCAGCCAAATGTGAGAAAGGTGATGTGTACTACTTTGAGGGAAGAGTCTTAAGAACGAGGACCAAGCTCACTTTCTTCTCCTTGCCTCTTTAATCGAGAAAACTTCTCCTGTGTGATACAATGTATGGATACTATCTATTCACAGGGAACACAGAAAATAAACATGTGCTGTGGAAAGGGAGAAGAGAGGCTTTTACTGCAGCCTAAGCCATAACTACAGTATTATTTTATGTCTCAGCTTAGTTTCTGTGCATCCTGTGCCATTTCCTTAAGTTCTGCCTTCCAAATCACACAATTCTTCCCCTTTTCCAGGAGCTAGAGGTACCGTGACTTGGCCTCCAGATATGGTCCTTTCTTGCCTTTCCAAAGTCATGGGGGAACTACTTTCTGAGCCCCTTCCTTCCCTGCCAAGAAACTCTCCTTAGAGGTTATTTCTTGTTGCTTAGAGTGTTTTTGCTTGTGTTTTGGAGCTAAGCCTGGTAGTCAAGGGTTTTATCACTAGAAATCCATCCTTTGTCCCTCCCTCCTTCCACTTCTCCCCTTTTTATCTGTGGATGGCTTCCTCTGCAGAGAAAAAGCAATTAGTGAAGCTGTATAAGATGAGGACTCAAGTCAGGCATGCCCAACTTTGGAAAATAAATACATCGTGTAGAATATATAAGGTTATTTACTCTACAGCATTATAAAGGTAGAAATGCTTTGGCATGGTGGTAGTGTACTGCTCACCCTCTCTCTCTTAAGAGAGTATGTAATATACTAAAAAGTACAGTGTATAAATGAGAAATCATCTTTTTCTAACCTATTTTAAAATTATGTAAAGTAGGTTACAAACCTTAAATATAAGTAGTTGTGTTTAATTGTAGATTTGGGTTAAATAATAAATTAAAACCCCAGCACTAGTAAATGCACAGAAAAGATCCCAGGGGGACTTAAAAGGTCCTGACCTTTAATCACTCTTATCTCAGAGAAACTACATCACCTGCCTTCCTTTCTTCTTTCTTTCCCTCCCTCCCTCCCTTCCTTCCATCCATCCATCCATCCATCCATCCATCCATCCTTTCAAATTTTAGATTTTATGTGGTTTTTAAGTAACCTCTACACCCAACATGGGACTTTCATATCCCCAAGATCAAGAGTCCCATGCTCTACCACTTGAGCCAGACAGGTGCCCCTACATCATTTTTAGACAACTATCATTTTGTGGAAGCTTTTTTGACTTTTATAAATGGGCAGGTTGGTATGGATTTGAAGTAGAGAGACACACTCAGAATTAAAACAGAGCTGGTATTTCAAAATATAGCAGTTCATGAACAAAGAGGAGAGCATTATGTGTTGAAATGCCCAGAATAGCAAGCAAACAAAAAAGGGAAACGAGTCATGGCTGAGGGCAGCTGTGTATTTTAAGAAAGGACTGGTACCATTTCCTAGATCATCTTCCTGCTTTATGAATTCTAAAGCACTGAATCTATTATATCATGTTTCTCCAAACAAATGTATTATATTCACTGAGTGCAATGAATATATACAGTTTAGAATATACGAATAAAACAAGTGCCTGTGTACCCACCACCAACCTAGCTTAAGAACAGAAAAAGACCAGTACTTTTGAAGCCCTGCCAAGATTTCGTCTTGGAAATAAAATCAATTAATGTTTGGACCCATTCGTGGGACACCCTGCAAGATTTCATCACCCCTTCCCAGACACACTATACTGAGTTTGATATAATAATTTCCTGGATTTCCTTCTTAGTTTTACATTTATATAGGTATCCTTTAACAAAGCATATTTCTAGTTTTGCCCTTTTAGAAAACTCTGTATAAGTGAACTCATATTCTGTGTTTTTCTGTGCCTTGCTTTTTTCACTCAACATTATGTGTTTTTCTTGTTTTTTGAATTTTTAGTTTTTTAGAAGTTTTTTTAATTGGGAAAACAACATTATGGTTTTTGATTCATCTATTTGTATATAGCTATAGTTCATTAAGTTCAATTTCTGTGTAGTTTCCCACTGTAGTAATATTTTCAAATGTATTTATACATTCTGTGTTTTAAATACTTCAGTGTTAATTACTACATGTGGTTTGGTTTGTTCCAATCTCAGGGTCAGCTTTTTTTCTTGAAGCTGTTTGGCATGGAAAATGTGTTCATGTCTTGAGATAATCAAGATGTTCTAATTTCCCTTTTATCATTGATTTGAAATTGTAATTAATTTTGTTCATTGAACACTATCAGGATATATTTGGCTTTTCTTATCTTGATGCTGAATCTTGTGTTGAACTCACAGTTCCCATGGAGAATGTTGCAACAATTGCTGATTGTGCCAGCGTGATTGAAGGAGTTAGTCGGAGCCGAAATGCCTTGCTGAATGGGGACACCAAGAATTATGATTGGGATTCTGGCTATACGTGTCATCAGTTAGGAAGTGGTGCGATTGTGGTTCAACTGGCACAGCCATACATGATCGGGTCAATACGGTAAGGAGATTCCTTTTCATTCATTACTTTTAAAATGGAAGACACTTGTGCAAATTCTGTTTTGGAACAATGATGATACCATTAACTTCAGTGAAGAGACATTTCTGTTCTGTGCTCTAAATATTGAAGCGTGAACAGAGAGATAGAGGGTGCTTGTTTGTATCTTCTGGTGGGAGGATACACCAAGATTATACTTCCAGAGAGACTAGATTAGAGGCCTCTCCCTGGGTACAGCTCATCGTCTTTTTTAAAAAATGTTTATTTATTTATTTTGAGAGAGGTTATGAGCAGGAGAGGGGCAGAGAGAGAGAGAGAGAGAGAGAGAATCCCAAGCAAGCTCTGTGCTGTCAACGCAGAGCCTGGCACAGGGCTCAATCCTACAAACCTTGAGATCATGACCTGAGCCAAAATCAAGAGTTGGAAGCTTAACTGACTGAGCCCCCCAGGTGCCCCTGGCTCACCTCCTTCTTAAGTCTGTTAGAGTTGGTTAGGGACTTAGAGGATAATGTCAAGAGAGGTTATGTAGAATCAAAACTAATTTTCAACTTCAATAAATGACTTTACATATGAACCAAACAAATCTGAGTATGAGACTGGTCCTAAAAAAAATCTTCTTAATGAAAAATCCGGGCTTGGGGTGGTTGTTTTCATTTTGTTTTGTTTTGCTTTAAGAAAGGAACTTTAACCCAACATTGCTTGACTTACAGGCTCATATAATTTTAAAACCTGTGACTGGGGACACATCCCCTAGAGAACATACCGGAGAGCCGTCTGGGTATTGAGCAGGCTGCCCTCTTTTGCTTTTTTTCTGAAGGTTCTAAGAAGGTCTCTGAAAGACTACTATATACATATGTATGTTATATATTTGCATTTGTGTTTAACAGCAGCTAAGGTATTTTACATGATATCCCACATGGAGGTGTGGGTGGCATAGGACTGCCTACCTCCGGCCCATGAATCGCACTCCACCACATTTGCCTTGTTGTTTTCTGTTCTCATTTTAAAGTCAGTGTGTATAAAGAGAGAAATAGCACAAAGAAAAAATAAAATAAGGCAGTAGGACTCTAACAGGCAAAGGTTTATTGATGTTTAGGCTAATAACCACAGAGGTTACCGCGGCTTGCCAGTCCCCGGGGGCCCCCTGACGAGTGATGCTGGATTTCTGGGAGAATTCAGACAGTGGATTTCTTCATTTAAATTGTCAACCCCTTTTCCTAAAGGGCTACATACAGGTTGAGTAACGTAGGCAACAAATCATGCAGATACAGAAGCTGTGCAGACCAAACAAACCCACTCTGTGCTTAGGAAGGGGGAAGAGAAGCCACAGTCAGTCTGAACAAGCTATCAGTGCAAATAAACTTCCGCCACAGAGCAAGCAACATCCCCATCCTTCCTTTTTCTCAGCTGCATGTGTGAAGTAAAGGACTCATAGGCCATCTATTTAATAAGCCATTCTGGAATTTTTGTCATAGGTGGTGTGAAACCTAGCTAAATATTTCCCATTACAATCTCCCTCTTCGCTTTAAAAATCTGGGGAACAGTTGTCCTTCTCCGGTCACTGGCAATCCTTAGAGTCTTCACAGTTTCTTGAAGATTACCAGTCGTGGCTCTGAGATTACATCTGCAGTTTCTTTCAGCAGGCATGGGGTGTAACTCACCAGAGCCAGGAGACTTGGAATCATTTAAATTGACTAGATACTCTCTTTCTTTCACTGCACCTATTTGGGGCTTCAGTTTTCCCTTTATTACGTTTGTTCTGCCATTTCTAATTTGAAGACCAGTCTTCTCACCAATGAAGATGGAAGCAAACTGGCAGCTTAGTGGCTCTCCCCACTCACTCTCTTGTAATGTTCCCTGTGTTCTGCCTGCTCACCTGGTACTCCACCTCCGCCCCCAGCGATGTTATACGTGCCTCTCACGCCAACATGCCAGAAGTGGAATTCCATTATTCCCCCTTTCCCTTCTCAAGTCACCTTGAGATTTCCCCCATCTCATTCAGTGGTACCACCCATCTATGCATAGACTGCTCTAAAAACATGACCATCTTCCTGAATTTACTCCTCTCCCTCGCCTTCCCTCTTCAACCAGTTCTGTTAATACTGGCTCCTACATATCTCACAAAGCCTTCCTCTATACTCCTCCCCCATGGCTAACACCACAGTTGTATTTTTGTAGTTTCTCCTCTCTGCCTGGTCTTCCAGACTTCCATCTGGCCCTTCCTTCCCCACCTGCAACCATGTCCCCACCCCAGATCCGAGGCGGTCACACCCCTTCAGGAGAAAGTTCAGATGAAGGCATTTAAAAACAATCTGACTTGCTTCTGTCTACACAGCCTTGTCCTGTGCTCCTCCACGCACCCAAACACATACCCATCTTAGCCTGTCCAGCTACCTGCATTTTGCATGTACCACCCCTCGCTCACCTCTATGCCTTCAACTCTTTGAACATGCTGTTCCCAGTGCTGCTGTCTCTCACGACCACCTCCTCACCCCTTTTTACCTGGCTCTTATCCCACTTCAGGACTCTGTTCCTCTGGGGATGCTTCCCTAACTGCCCATCATCTCCTGGGCTCATGTAGACCTCTCCTTTTTCAGTGACCCCATACATTCTCTATGTAATTCCTATTGGAATTATATTTATATTATAATCATTTACTCGCTGCCTCCTCCTAGCCTCACCTGATATATATAGCCTGTGGTAACTCAGAATAAGCATCCCTTGTCAGAGCAAATGCATAGATGAGGTAACCTGTCGGGATAGAAGGGGAAATTATAGCAGGTGCAGTAGGAGATCTAGAATTTTAGATTCAGCAGGAACACATGAGGTCACTGCCCAGGTGACAACTCAGAGTGAGACAAACAGGTTCTTTGTGTGACAAAGCCACCTTGACCTCTAGCTCTACCCAAATAATGAGAGATATTCAATCTGACTCCAGAAAAAGGTGTCCCTGGGACTTAAAGCAAGAGAAAACAGTGCCCATTTGGTTTTCTTTAATCATGGAATGAAAATGGTTTTTTTCATTTTTTTTCTGAACTATTTTCTGAACTATTTTTTTCTCTCCATGACTCAGAGTGGCGATAATGAGCATGAGCACAGCCAAAGGTAGAATTGTCTGTCTCAACTTCCAAACTTCCTTAAGCCTAGCTATTGTTTTCGCAGTGAGAAAAATCCATGCAATTGAAGCTCTGTATAACTGGCTGAGCACTCAAAGAGACACGTTTCTGTGAAACAACATTATGTTGTCAGGATCTGCATTTGCCTCTTCTGTGACATTATTAAGAAGAAAGGGAGAGGGACTTCTTAACCACCAATGCCTGTGGGCGAGCCTGGATATCTTGGCAGGCCATGGTTAGCAGCTGCTGATGTGCCCAGACAGACATTTATTGATAGGAAACTAGATCAGTGGCACCTCTTCGTGGGGATGGGTAATTGACCAATGACAGGATGATTAGTCAGTGACATTTGACCCACAGCTTCTATTGCTTGTGATGACCGACTTGCTTTCCTAGTCACTGTATCTGAAAAAGCTCAATGATTCTGAATCGACACCCAGAGGGAGAGCGTTACAGAGCTGAGTGACTAACACTTTCCCCATCTAAGAGGCAGGATATCTGGCAATCCTGGAAACTCTTCCTCTAGGGAAGCCCAGTCACATGGTACACTGGCTTTAAAAATTCAGGTTTCTTTGTAGACAGTGACTATGAAGGCAAGGGACTCAAACATGAATTGTCTTAATCACTGTAATCTCTTTTCCTAAGGGAGGATATAATTGTTTTGTGGGTAAAGATGTCTTTTGTTTGTCTGTTTTCATCCACAGAAATCACTTCTTTCTCTCCTGAGCATTTACCTGTGGGCAGGCAGGCAGGCAGACAGACAGGCAGAGCCGCCTTCTTTGCCTGGCCATGCCTGCTCCTAACCACAGTCCACGGGAGCCTAATCCTGCTAGTATCTCTGGTACCAGTACCCTTGTGGCATCCTGGAGAGGCTGATCTTGAAACTTGACCCCTGACCATCCCTCCTCCCACCCATTTTCTTTCTTTCATTTAGCAAACATTTATTGAGCCTTCTGCTGTGTGCCAGGCACTGTTCTCAGCCCTGGGGATAGCGCATTGAATAAAGAAAACAAAAATCGGTGCTGTCATAGAACTGACATTCTTGTCAGGGGGAGATAAACAGTAAACAACACCATAATATGTCAGATTTTTCAAGGTGCCACGGTGCAATCTGGAGGCAGGACCAGGGAGTAGAAACAGTGCAGTTTTAGAGTGGTCGGGGAAGTCCTATGCAGAGCCTGAAGAAAGGGAAGAGCAAGCCATCTGGGAACCTAGAAGACGAGCATCACAGAGTGCCAAGGCCCCAAGAGGGAGTGTGTCTGGCAGGTGGCGGGTGCAGCAAGGAAGCCAGTATGGCTAGTGCAGGGTAAGGGGGGCTGAGAGCAAGAGGCAAGGTGAGGGAGGGGACTTGGAGAGGCAACAGCCCTGACATTTGTTGCCGTTTTGTTTCTGTATTCAATCACCACCTCCCAAAACCATGCCACCCACCACCGCACAGCCATCCCTGCATTTCATTAGCCCAATGAGAGAGGAGAGAGGCTTGTTTTCTGGGCTGAGGAGAACAAGGGTGGGGGAGGGGGGAGGCCGCCATGCCTTGAGAAGCACCTTTCCTTGCTCCTGACCTGCCTTGATCCAGCCCGCTCCTGGAAGAGAAACCACAGAGGCGTCCAGTTCTTACAGCTTAACAGGAAACTTGCTCCCCAGCTCTTTCTTTTCTTTCTCCCTCCTAAGAGCCAGAGCGGACAGTGTAACTGGGAAGTAAAGAAGTTTGATTTGTTGTTGCTGGGTGTACAGACACAGCCAAAGTTATTTGTGGTATATGAGAGAAAAAGAGAGAGACTGCCTGCAATGTACCTTACATGTGGGTAACGAGTAGTAATTATATCATTTTCGTGCCACTTTTAAACATTAAAATTTAAATAACAGGAAATCTTCAGAGGCCTGATC